CTGTTTTCTTCAAGTTTGTATCTTCTTGATCGAACGCACTTATTGTAATTCGCTAAATGCAATGTAATGTCGTAAAAAAGTGAAACAGCAGCAATAATTTCGCATAAAATCTTCAGTTTCTATCTTTAATTATTATGTTTTTACATTATTTCTATATGCCTTGTGATTAATAAATGGTATTTGACAATCATTTGTTGATTTTTTCACATGTTATTGTTTGTTTCTTTCAGCATGTATAGCCTTCTATTTGCATTGTGTGCATTATGAAAATACACAACATGAATAAAGCTGTGTCGGATTTGCAGTCATTTTCAATGCATCTTCATTTCCCGTGCTCGCATTTTAAAATAAACAAATCCCAGGATTATTTGTTTTTCTTTAATGAAGTTTCTGTTTCAGCCAATGTCCTAATTTCTCTTCAATAAAAGCTTTCTATCATTATTCACAACCTCGTTGCTTCACAGCTGTTTTTGCAGAATAAGTCAAATGTAAGAATATGTTAGTTGTAGGGTAAATCCTCCCATCTGATTGGCTATAAATGCTCTTATAGAATAAATACAGAAAGTCACCTGATCACTTCAGATTGCTCTCCTACACTTTACTCTAGTAAGTAGCTACACATGTATTCTTCACACAATCTGACCCTGGTCTCAGTCTCCTTTCAGCATTAAAGCAATTCATTTACCTTGTAAACATTGATACTAATTCAAACAAATAGAAACCTATAGATCCTCATCTTCAGTTACACCTTCCTACCTTCCAAGCCGATCTTCCCGTCTCCATCGGAGTCGCCCTGCAGGAGGAAGCCTCTGGTCTCCGCCGCCGTCAGGGGCCTCGCTCCTTTGGAGAAGTTCTGCAGGAACAGTCTGCAGGAAGACCACGGATAAGCACAGGTTGAGAAAAAAAGACACCAAATACACAAAAAAACTAATGAGAACAAAGTTTCTAACCACATTAAATGTCATGCATTTGCAGGAAACTACCTATAGTTGAATTGCAATAGAACAGGATTGTATGTTGTGTGTATTAAACTCACTGTAACTCATCCTGTTCTATGAAGCCGCTTTTGTCCTGGTCCAAAATCGTAAAGATTCTCTTGATCTCTGTTGTATTTTTCTTGGATAAACCCACAGTTTTTAAGAACATCTTCGGGCTAAATGAGTCCTTTGCTGAAAAAAAAAAATCACACATCAAACTTGATTAGATCCAGACAGTTAACAAGAAGATGTACCAAACGGTAAAATACAGAAACAAAGGCCTTTGACGAATAGCAAGACTCACTTATTTTTCAAACAATCACTATCCACTATCCTCACCTTCACAAGCATTGATGGCCAAAGCGATATCGGAGGCTGCGAGGAAGTCGGTGATGGCCATGCTGATGGAGAATCTGTTGTGGTGTGCGTTGTAGTCGGGTGCAATATGTGACTGCAGAAAGACACTATGGGTGACAGTGAATAGGCTTCACCCCCCCTTGGTGTCAAAAACCACCAGTGTCCTTCTGTCCGCTGTCACCTGCAGCTGACCACTTCAGCCAACAGTGTGTGTGTGTGTGTGTGTGTGTGTGTGTGTGTGTGTGTGTGTGTGTGTGTGTGTGTGTGTGTGTGTGTGTGTGTGTGTTTCACAAATCCTCAACCCAATTACCAACACTGATGCTGACTGTAGCACACTACTGCAGTCTAGTGGTAGATCACAGCAATGATATATACTGTAGAAAAACCCCCATAATTCCTACTATTGGTTGTGCTGTTGATGGATCTATTTGGGTATTTTCTCTAGATGTGTTATGATGTACTGATTACATTCAGCCACTCTAAAATAACAAACACATTTGTCCTATAAACAACATTTTACAATTGTTGTAGGTGCAGTTTTGCTGCAACCTTTATTTTAAAATTCTGAAAGTTTTCAAGTGTCTTAAACACAATTGAAAAAGTATTAACTTTGCATATAAACTATGTATAGATACCGTTTATCAATGTGTATGAAATGTGCATTTACTGTATGTGTCCGAACCATAGACTGTATATATAAAGGTCCGAACATAGTTTTTTTACACAGCTGAAAAACCAATGCTAATGAGAGCTTTAAAGGGACAGGGAGTAGTTTTTGTAAACACAACTTTTAGAGTTGCGCACTCCTCGCGGCTCGACGGGGGGGGGGGGGTCGCTCTCCAGCGAGTGAAAGCTAAACCTGAGACTCACTCACCTCTGATTTGGAACACACTTTGTTTGCTTAGCGTTTAATGTGACATCACCTCGCTATATATTTGTTTCGTGCACCTTTTTCCTAGCTTACTATCCGATGTATGCTTACAATCTGACACCTGGTCGCTACGATTTTAGAGGTTGACGCCCACCAACTTCCCAAAAGAGAAATAGGTGAAGGGGTCATGCAGATACAGACACACCTCTAGAGGGTTGTAAATGATGAATGGGAGGATTTCTATGCGTGTTGTTTTTTTAAAGAAAATCCTACACATTGTGTCTCGAATGTGAGCTCTTTTTAAGTTTCCACTGTACAATTTAATCCTTCATCCTGCATGTTCCAGACTGCCAAGGCACAC